CCGCTGCGACCGCTATGGCCGCCAGGGAGGAGGAGTATGCATTTTCTACAAATCAACGCTCCCTGTGTCTCACCGTCCTAATCTCCACGTAGACGGCCTTGAAGGCACCTGGATTTCGGTAAACAGACGTGGTCGCCAGCATCTCATAGGCTGCATGTACCGCCCGCCCGACTCAACAGTCACCTATTGGGAAAGACTTGATGGAGCGCTTCATAAAGCAGCATTGTTGACACCATCTATGACTGTGCTTGGAGACTTCAATGTCGATGTCGGAGCCGGCACAACATCCCCGCACTATCAGCGCTTCTCAGATTTGGTAGCATCTTATGGCCTCAGAAACCTGGTCACAACTTCCACTAGGACCACACCCCAGTGCCCCAATGGCAAGATCATCGATTTGATCCTCACAAGTTGCGATGATGCCCGAAGTTGCGCCGTAGTGCCGTCTACCCTCAGCGACCATGATGCCGTTCAGGTCCTCTTGGGCCTGCACGTTCAAGTGCCCAGACAAGCATGTAACTCGAGGAAGCCATTCCGCAGCGTACGTAGAATCCACATACCTGATTTCCGAGACGACCTTGATGCAGCACACCTTGATACCTGGCCCCCGAACACTACAGTTGATGACATGTGGTCAATTTGGCACTACAAACTCTTGGCGATCCTCGACAAGCATGCTCCTCTCCAGTGTTCTTCTGCCAAGCGGAAGCAGCTACCACCCTGGTCGGATCGGCACCTCTTCCAGCTCACCCAGCGCAAGAATCGGCTGCATAGGCGGTGGCGGGGAGACAAAGCAAACGCTGCGCTCCACACTGCATTCAAGCGCGCCCGTGCGGAAGCTAGAAATGCATACCGACAGAAGCGAAACACTTACTTCCAGGGACAATGTACAGCAAACGCAGGAAACACCAAGAAGCTTTGGCGTACCATTAACAAAGTCACCTGTAGAGACCGTCCCCATGTTGAACCCTCTTGTACGATCGAAGATGTCGCCTCAGCCTTCCACAAGGTGGTTACTGATGACTGTCGACCGCAAACGTTGTCTGCTCCCCTCGGGCCTCCACCCCGCACTTCCCTCCCCAAGTTCTCACACGTCAGTATCGGTGCTGTTGAACGGCTACTCCAGCAAGTTAATCCCGCGAAGGCAACAGGCAGCGATGGCGTACCAGGGGCAGTCCTCAAACTCTGCTCTGACGTCTTGGCGCCGTCTGTCACTAGCCTGTTCAATGCCTCGCTGTCGTGCGGACATGTGCCCTCGGCGTTCAAGCTAGCTAATGTCATTCCACTGCATAAATCTGGTGATCCATCGCTGCCAACTAACTTCCGCCCTGTATCCCTTCTACCCATACTCTCCAAGCTGCTAGAGAAGTTGGTTCAGAAGGAGCTCATCACCTTCCTGGACATAACAGCATCGTTACCAACAACCCAGTTTGCGTTCAGGCGTGGCCACTCTACCGAAGACGCATTAGTCCTTATGTCAAACCGCATCCTGACAGCCAAGGATCAGGGCCTATTCACAGGTGTATGCCTGTTAGACATGTCCAAAGCCTTCGATAAAGTCCAACATGACAAGCTATTGCAGGATCTCCACAGTGTTGGGGTGTCCGGTACTGCCTTGGACTGGTTCGCCAGCTACCTATCCGGTCGCACTCAACGTGTCTGTCTGGGGTCGCGGACTAGCTCTATATCAGCTTGCACGAGTGGTGTCCCCCAAGGTTCGGTGCTGGGCCCCATTCTGTTCAGCCTTTACACCCGCGAGGTCCCCGCTGTAGTTGGCCAGTCCGAGTCAGTTCAATTCGCGGACGACATTGCGCTCGCGTGCAGCCGGCGAACAGCACAGGAGGTATCCGATGTCTTATCTGCTTCTGTTTCAATTCTTGCAGACTGGCTGAAGGATCGAGGCCGATCCTCAATGCTGGCAAGAGCCAAGTCGTGCCAATTCCTGCCGGCCGTCAGCACACAGCGGATCTACAGGTCGTCTGCCATGACACTTCACTGCCTAGTGTGCCAAGTGCTCGTTATCTTGGCGCCACAATCGATTCCGGCATGTCCTGGCACGCCCACATTGCCAAATGTTCTGCACGCGTGTCGCAGAAGATCGGAGCACTCTGGCGAATGCGCCGCTGCCTGAATCACCAGTCACGCATGACCTACTTTAGATCGCTGATCATGTCTGACCTGCTGTATGCCTCAAACGCGTACTCTAGCTCACTGCAAAGAAGGTACCTCGACCGTCTACAGGTCCTGCAGAACAGCGGGGCTCGTGCTGTCTTTGGCCGCCCTCCGTGGTCGTCTGCCCGCGACCTGCTGGAGCGCATTGCAGTGTTCCGTGTGGCAGAAGTCTTCAATCAGAAGCTAGCATACCTGGTGTGGCGCTGTCGTTATGCACTGGCAAGTCCAGAGTTGCAAGCCCTGCTAACCCCCGCTGCACCCGGCCCTACTAGGCTCCAATCTGCCATGGGCCTGTGCGTGCCAGTTTCCCGTTCGGTTGCGGGGCGGGGGCGCTTTGCTTGCAAGGGTGCTGTATTATGGAATGCCCTCCCAAGCGACATCCGTGCCATCCATCACGCTCGGCAGTTTCGCACGCAGGTAATCCCCTATACCTGCGCCCTGTAGATGTCGACAAGCGAAATCTGATTTTTTCTGTTCTCTTTCTGTTGTACCCGATCTCCCTCTGATGTACCGCTGACTCTACGTTGAAGATCAAAGTATTTGAATTCTCATTCTCATTATGATTTTCATATTCGCTTTCATGTTATTGGGTTCTATGCCCGTTTGAACTTGCGAATCAAAATAAATACAAACAAACAAACAAACAAACATGCTCGCGGCCAACAATAATAATAACATACATCTAGTCATGAGTAGGAAAAGTCACAGTTGTAGCATTGCCGGATATGACATCTCCCCCGGCTTCGCAAAAGACACGTCCTCGTGTTTTGCAAAGGTGGAATAACTAACAAATGGAAAAGACTGTACAGAGAGTCCGCGTAGCGCAAGCAATGAATGGAGGGGAAAGAAGGGAATTTAAACCTACCCAACGTATTTCACTAACACTTTCGTTTTAGGAACGGTAATTATGGTATTGCTAATGCCACATGATTATTATAATAGTTCACAGCACCTTCTCTAAGAACATGAAATATCAGAACCGTGCCGGCGGTCTACGATTCCTTTGCGGCCGCGCCATGGCATAAGGCGTTTGTGGCAGCTGAACTACTGGTGGCAGCTGAGGAATGGGAGCATGCGCTTGTGCCATAACGGCAGGCTCACCACCATAAGTTTCGCCATTATCGCACTCGTCCCGGTACAGAAGGTCTGTGGCATCGGGTTGGTACGCTTCAGGTTGTCGAACTTTAGCGGGGTTGCATCCGGAATCACCCACGGGCTCGACCTCCTCCGGTACTGGTTTGTGGCGTGGCCCTGTACGCCAACAACATGGCGGGCAAGTGTGTGTCCCAATCCCGCTGGTGATCCGACACATAGTGTGACAAGACCTTCTCGAGCGTCTGATTGAAACGCTCCACGAGACCATCGCTGGCTGGATGATACGCTGTGGTGCGTGTTTTTCTAATACCCAACAGGCTACACACGTGTTTGAACAGAGCAGAGTCAAAATTCCGGCCTTGATCTGTATGTATACTTTCCGGCGCACCATAGCGTGCAACAAACTCGCTAGCAAATGCTGAGGCAATGGTTTCGGCGTCCATCCTCTGTAGTGGGTAGGCCTCTACCCATTTAGTAAAATAATCTGCGATAACTAAGATGTGTTTGTTGCCTCTCACAGTTTCAGGCAGGTTAGGAATAAGATCCATAGCAATCCTTTCGAAAGGGTAGCCACACCATGTTACTTGCAGAGGGGCGCCTCGCCCTCTCTGCGCTGGCTTACGTCTCTGGCTACACGATTCACAGCTTGCGACCCAGTCTTCGACGTCCCGTTTCATTCCATACCAGTGAAACCTTAGCGATAACTGCGCGTACGTGCGTTGTACTCCCCAATGACCCCCGTGGTCATGGTACTCAGACAAAACCGCAGTCCTCTGGTTCACCGGAACCAGTACCTGGGTCCTGGGTGGCACAGAGACGCATGGATCTTCCCACTTTCTGCACACCACCCCCTCCCGAACGAACATGCGCTGGCGTCCTCGCCAGTAAGACCGGAAAGCAGGACTGACACCTGTCAAGTCCGCGACCTCAGCAGATTCATCACCGCTGAGCAACGTAGCTAACTGAGACAAATCCGTGTCTCTGCTCTGGCAGTCGCGCCAGTCCTGCAACGTCCAACCGCGACGCTGCACCAAAGGTGAGGGTACTACATGCTCTGCCACCGTATTAGCAGAGACAGAAGCCACCGCAGACGCCTTCCCAGGAAGTCGGGATAGGCCATCGGCGTTGGCATGGGACCGCCCCGCACGATACTGCATAACATAATCAAACTCACTGAGGAACTCTAACCAACGCGCGATAATCGCAGGGGGATCCTTAAACCGAGACAAGTGCTCCAACGCGCGATGGTCCGTGCGCACCAGAAATGGCCTACCCAGCAAATAGCACCTGAAGTGCCGGAAGGCCCAAACAATGCCGAGCAACTCGCTCTTTGTGGACGCATACCGCTGCTCCGTGTCGGTAAGAGATCTACTGGCAAAAGCCACGGGCCGTTCGCAGCCCTCAGAATCAGCTTGGGAGAGCACCGCGCCCAACCCCACCCCACTAGCATCCACATCTAGAACAAAACGTGGGGCATCGCACCCATAACGAGGGTACATCAACACTGGGGCACGGGACAACTTGTCCTTCAATGTACAAAATACGTGCTCGCATTCGTCTGTCCACTCAAACGAGCGTCCCTGTAGGTTTGAGACGGAGTCCAGCTGTCGCCAGCCTGGCGAACACCTCTTCCAGCCGGGTAAGCTGCTCAGCGAACGTACGGCCAAAGACGATGATGTCGTCAATATACACAAGGCAAGTGTGCCACTGGAGCCCGCTGAGCACGACGGTCATCAGGCGTTGGAAAGCACTGGGTCCGTTGCACACCCCAAACGGCAAACATTGAACTCATAATGACCATCTGGGGTTGAGAATGCCGTCTTCGGTCGAGCTTCATCGGCAACTGGTAATTGGTGGTATCCAGAGCAAAGGTCGAGAGTGGAGAAGAAGGACGCCTCGCCGAGGGCATCCAGAGTGTCGTCAATTCGCGGGAGGGGATACGGATCTTTGACAGTGACATGGTTGAGCCGACGATAATCAACACAGAAACGAGTAGAGCCATCTTTCTTGCCCACGAGCACAATCGGTGCCGACCATGGGCTCGTGGACTCGGACACGACGCCTTGTTGTAACATCTTGTCCACAATCGTACGGGCTTCCTGTCGTTGATGCCACGGAAGACGACGTGGTGGCTGGAAGATTGGAGTGGCATCGCCAGTGTCAATTTGATGTTCCATGAGCGATGTGCGACCCAGCTCAGCGCTGGACATCGCAAAGACGTGACGGTGACGGTGTAACAGGCCCCGTACCTGTTGCCGTTGGTCTGCAGTCAATCGCGACTCGTCAATGTGCAGCACATCATACAGGTCAGACTCGCTACCGAGCTCGTCCCAACTATTTTCTCCCCGGGGCTCCTCCGTAGACCCCACTGCGCATACTTCCGCAGCATCGCAGTCAAGCGCCGTGGGACTCAGCGACCCAAGGCGCGTACCTCGAGGAACAACCACATCCCTGTCCGAGGTATTCAGCAGACGCACTGGCACATCGCCCTGTACGCCACACCGCACCACCGCGTGCGCTGCAACATAACCATACCTAAACATCGGCCCTGCATCAGGTGTGAAAACAGCATCGCACTGTACATCGGGTTGCGGCCTCGCCCGCACTGCACCAGAGACACACAGCTCATGGCGAGCTGGAATACATACACGCCGCCGTAATTTCACAACACTAGACGCGGCAGGATCAATGGTAGATAGGCGTACAGGGGCCGATCTAAAGTGCAAGTCTTGGGCGCGGGGATCAGAAGTAATGGAACAGGGTAGCAAAGCTAGGACGTCACATCCAACGATGCACGAATGGTGCAGACCGCGCACCACACACACTGTATGCAAGCATTCACCCTGGTCCAACGTAAGTTGCACAACAGTTTCACCAACCACCCACAGCGGGCTGCCATTAGCGCTACATAGGCCACCTCCCTCGTAACCTTCAATGTCATCAGGCCCAACACCCACCCTGCCAGCCAGTGTCTCGGAAATCAAGGTTACTGCGGACCCTGTGTCAATCAGTACAACAGCACTCACCCCGTTTACACAGCCTTGGACCTCGAACCCGCGGACATTCTTAGTAGAATGGGGAGCGGGGATCAGGGAAGTCGTTGTAGAACCTACCGACGCTAGACCGGAGACGTGATCCGCCGCTCCGGTCAGTACTCGTTTCCCGACTGGTGTTGAGGCCGCCCACGCCCCTCAGATCCATTCCAGCCGTTTCGACCGCTGTCACGGGAAGCCAATTCGGGGCACTGAGCCCGGGTATGCCCTGGTCTATTACAGTGCCAGCAGAGGAGGGGTGACCCACCGCCACGTGAGTTTGGCGGACGCCATCCCCGCCGTGGGGACTGGAAGATACCAGGCGCATGGCAAGTGGACTCTTGATGAAGAACCTGGTCCAGTTTCTCAGTCAGCTGCGACAGGGATGTCGCGAGAGTGGTGAGTCGCTCGTCTTGGCTAACTGGGGCGACCATGGACGCTGGCCCGTAACGGGGTGACTCGCACACGCCAGATGTGGCCATCACAGTCTGAAGCAATGGCTGGGCGACCGCGCCCAAACCCGCCCCAACATAAGGGCCCACTAACTTGGTCGATGCATCTGGTGGAAGCTCTACCTCCGACCATACCTTTTCCAGGTGCAATGCCGTTTCGACCGCCGCTTGGACGGTTGCCGGTGGGTTCTCCTGTAAACGCACCCTCAGAGCCACTGGTGTAAGAGATTCGATAAATTGGTCTCGCACCAAATCATCGCGAACCGCATCTGGCATCATAGGGTAAGCCCGGACGACTAAGCGACGAAGGTCATCAGCGACCCGCAGTAGGTCCTCACCCGCCTTCCGTCGCCGCGTACGGAATTGGGCCTTGTACTGGTTTGCAACCGCAGCAGGGGCAAACCGATTGCCCATATCAGCGCAGAGATGTTGCCAATTCACTCGTCGAGCAGCAGGCAAGGTAGTGAAGAACCGGCGAGCCGCATCGCGCAGCCTCACCCCAAGGAACTGGGCCCTCTGCGGATCCTGCCATCCGTTGACTTCCGCACACTGTATGAAATAGGCCAAGTATTCCTGCCAATCTCCTTCTCCATCAAAGGTCTCTGGCATAACAGCAGGCCGAGCAACCGCGCCGCCTGCTCTCGCTGGAGCGGCTCCTGCAGCAGGAACACCTCCAAGCGCAGCTGCCCCCGCAGCACCAGCGCCACCACCACCTACGGGCGCTGCACCGGCAGCACCCTGGTTTTGCCCTCGTTGAGCCATCGCACCTCTCACGCACACAACAAATTAAGAACACAAAAATAAAAATAAAACCCCGGGACGACAGGACCCAGGCACAATCCGTCAGGAAACAAGGTACAACAACCACCAACTGACTCCCCAGCGACGAACACGTTGCTTTATACTATCACTGGGCCCGCTAGCACTTCCTAGCGGCCCACCGAAGACCCAGGTCTTCGCGCGATACTCCCGATCGCCCACGACCAGCTCATCAAGAGCTGTCCATTGTTACCTTAGCCGTCCCGACACTCTGACCTCTGTGCATTCGGTCCACACGCACACACACACGCACACAGTACCCTAGTACATCTTTATCCCTGGTGGCGCCACCAGACTCTTAATAAATTATCCTCGTCAACTGTAACCTGACCTAACCACAGGCTCCCAGGATACATCAACTCCATCGGATCACACCGAATCACAACCACTAGACCCTTATCAGAGCGCTGTTCCGAACAAACCACCAATGCCCTCAAGGGTAACAACAAGCCTCTAGACGTACAGACAACGCAACCAACCATGACACCTACTCAGACTGATCAGAACCACAGTCAATGCTGATACATGATTTGGAACTAACCGCAGTTCCACACCTTGTCTAAAGCCTTGCCAGAGTTTCCGTCACGACCCGTAACTGAACCCATGCGAGCAAGTGACTGCTAACCGCAAGCAGGTGACGCACACAGCACAACAGCATGCCGCAGACTAGTTCATATCCAAGCATTGGTTCATTGAAGGACAGGTAGACATACATGATACATGCACATGTAGATCATGCGTTAGTAATACATACAAGTCAGTATACACGATGTCCGCGTGAGCAGGCGCTCATTGGGGTTCCGCTGAAGGTGCCGGCGGTGGTGGCGGTGGTGGCCGGACTGGTTTAACGACCACCGACCGTAGCCGACCGGTGTAGGTTGCGCTGACCTCTTCCTCGTCTTCCGTGCCTCCGTAATCGAGATCGGTGTCCAGGTCCATCGCGACCTGGTCACCTTGACCTTCTGGCCCGCCGCGGACCGCGTCAGCATAGGAGGGCTTCTTGGGAGGTGCAGCATTGACAACTCCCGCCACACTTCCCGCTGCCACCACGGCAGCTGCAGCAGTAGTTGCGGCAACTGTTGCCGCCGCCTCACCGCGAGGCTTCTCCGCAGGCCAACCTCGCTTGGCCAAATGCGCCTGCCACCGCTCCTCCCGCTTCACCCGCCGTCGGTCAGAACAGGACCTCTTTCCTGGTGCGACGTTGGCAGACTCCTCGCTTTCTCGTCGCCGCTTCTGGGGTAGGGAACCGTTCCGCCTTGGTACCGGAGGGGAATCCTCACTCCTGCCGGCATCCGCACCGACGAAGGAGGAGAAGAAGCCCTCCGATGACCGCTGCAACCGAACCAGCTCGCCACGCAGCCTCCGCAGCAGCGTGGCAGGCCGTTCGCGCCCGGTTGCCTCCAAGGCCGCCGCTCCATCGCGGAGCGCCCTCCGGACCTCTTCTGCCTGGCAATTGCTAGTTTCCGCCATCCTTTGTAGAGTGGTGGGCAGACCCTGCTCGCAGCGCCAAATGTCGTAACCGGGTATCCCGCTAGTAGTAGCGTTCAGCCGCAATATACGGCTACTGCCCAACCACTCACACAACAAGGTCACCGTAACCTAAAGGACGTTTATTGCTCCGGACAAGAAGAGGGAGACACGAGGAGTGACCCTAGCGGCTACGAACACCTCCTATTGTAAGCTTAGCTAAAAACATGAAGTAAACATCAGCGCGGGTTATAATGCAATAGCGAACGACAATGCCAGCTGAGAAGCAGTTACGCTGCTAATGTATTGTTCAGTGCAACAGCAATAGCACTGGCTATACGGTGAGGTCCTATGTTGTCATCAGCGGGACTAAGAGTACTCAGTACTAGTACGGACGTACATGTATATGCGCACCAGACCATAACGACGGTGACAGGTATGAATATGTCGCACTGTCACCAACTGATTTGTCAGGGGAGAGCTAGAGGCAAGATGATGGCGGCGTGGATCAATACTACTACCGGTACTAGTACATTACAACAAGTACACAGATGTAGAGGTAAGGGGATACGGTAGGACAGCTCTGCATGCATGATGCTCGCGGCCAACAATAATAATAACATACATCTAGTCATGAGTAGGAAAAGTCACAGTTGTAGCATTGCCGGATATGACACTAGTACACCGAATATGCTACAGAGTTGACTACAGACAGTAGATTTTTCACTGGCCTTAGAGACTGGGGCACTATTGAAGAGAGAGCCTGCTTGTAGGGTAGGCCTTGACGGATTATGCTAGCATAATTTTTCGCATAATTTCTACCAAAATCGAATAATCGCATAATTCGAGGCAAATTGCATATGAATCGCATAAATTGGAATAATCCGCCTGTTCGCATCAAATTCCATACAGTTGTACATGTTCTACAAGTACAAGTAGATGCACCAGGAAGTCGTAGGTTTACGACTCCCTTGATAACATGTCCAGTCCACTACAATCAGTGACGGTCGTAGCTAGGTCGGACGGTGCGTTGACCCCGTTGAACTTTTGCTTCTACAGTACAACGCCCTCTACAAAACAACTCCCCTGGTATTTTGCACAGAAGCATCATATACATCAGCAGCATACATGTATGTGCATAATATGATAACGTTTAGCATAAAAATAGCATAATTCTGCAATTTTTTCAGCAATGCGAAAAGCATAATTTCACGAAAATATTAGCATAATCCGTCAAGGCCTATTGTAGGGCTCTAATCGCGCGAGTACGGTACTTCATAATCTGCGCCATCATGCGCTCGCTCCACGGATACAACACTGACAACACCCTCAGTCTCAGGGCCTGTCAGTCCGGAGCAAGTCATCTGGTGTCGCGACACTTCGTCGAGATTTGGTTCACACCGCGGCGCTTCATCGCGAGCCATTTCACAACCCTGCCATTCACAGATACGCCGATTTTATAGCCGCTTCGCAGCGCGATATGCCACAAAACAGTGATCCGCTCGGCACCATTACATTTTCGCACCTGTCGTGTTCAGCGCGAGCGCATGACTGGATGCGTCTACACAATTTCGGGGACAGGATGCCGGAGATCGAAATACGTGGATGCTTCTTCCATCTTGCCCAAAATACAGTGGTCCCTCTATAATCCGGCACCATTTGTGCCACGAAAATCTGCTGGATTAGGGAGGGTGCTGGATTAACAAATCTGATCTACTGCTGCAATGTGCATGAAGAGGACATTTGGCTACTGAAAATTGTGCCGGTTTATCGAGGGTGCTGGATTATAAAGTGCCGGATTAGAGAGGGACGACTGTATATGGAAACACGTTCTGAGTAGCGGCCATCAAGAGCTCTACACCACAAATGACAACTTCAACCCCGAGGTGCGTCAGATCGCAGCCCTGGTCTTCGTTCCTCAAGGCGATTGATTACATTGAATAATTGGGCATCGGAAATTCGCCTCTATAGTAACAGCTTATGCGGATGACGTAGACTTCATCAGCACCAGCCTACAATATTTGCATGACAATCAACCCATACTATCATCCTCGTTAGCGGAATACAACTTAAAAATGAATGAAGCCAAAACCGAATATACTACAATTAACTCAATCTGCGGACAGAACTGTTTCGTCCTTTGTGGACTCGTCAGCGCAGCACAGAGGAAATGAGGCCGAACCTGATAGCAATGGAAATAAAAATTTCCAATCAGGCCCGAACGTACCTTGCCAGAGTGCTCAAACTGACAAGTCAGTGAGCTCTGCATAACGCAAACAGCAAAGGCACTACCCCACGCAAGAGTGCTCAACTGCTACAAGAGCAGGAGCGAAATACTCAATCTGCGGACAGAACTGTTTCGTCCTTTGTGGACTCGTCAGCGCAGCACAGAGGAAATGAGGCCGAACCTGATAGCAATGGAAATAAAAATTTCCAATCAGGCCCGAACGTACCTTGCCAGAGTGCTCAAACTGACAAGTCAGTGAGCTCTGCATAACGCAAACAGCAAAGGCACTACCCCACGCAAGAGTGCTCAACTGCTACAAGAGCAGGAGCGAAATACTCAATCTGCGGACAGAACTGTTTCGTCCTTTGTGGACTCGTCAGCGCAGCACAGAGGAAATGAGGCCGAACCTGATAGCAATGGAAATAAAAATTTCCAATCAGGCCCGAACGTACCTTGCCAGAGTGCTCAAACTGACAAGTCAGTGAGCTCTGCATAACGCAAACAGCAAAGGCACTACCCCACGCAAGAGTGCTCAACTGCTACAAGAGCAGGAGCGAAATACTCAATCTGCGGACAGAACTGTTTCGTCCTTTGTGGACTCGTCAGCGCAGCACAGAGGAAATGAGGCCGAACCTGATAGCAATGGAAATAAAAATTTCCAATCAGGCCCGAACGTACCTTGCCAGAGTGCTCAAACTGACAAGTCAGTGAGCTCTGCATAACGCAAACAGCAAAGGCACTACCCCACGCAAGAGTGCTCAACTGCTACAAGAGCAGGAGCGAAATACTCAATCTGCGGACAGAACTGTTTCGTCCTTTGTGGACTCGTCAGCGCAGCACAGAGGAAATGAGGCCGAACCTGATAGCAATGGAAATAAAAATTTCCAATCAGGCCCGAACGTACCTTGCCAGAGTGCTCAAACTGACAAGTCAGTGAGCTCTGCATAACGCAAACAGCAAAGGCACTACCCCACGCAAGAGTGCTCAACTGCTACAAGAGCAGGAGCGAAATACTCAATCTGCGGACAGAACTGTTTCGTCCTTTGTGGACTCGTCAGCGCAGCACAGAGGAAATGAGGCCGAACCTGATAGCAATGGAAATAAAAATTTCCAATCAGGCCCGAACGTACCTTGCCAGAGTGCTCAAACTGACAAGTCAGTGAGCTCTGCATAACGCAAACAGCAAAGGCACTACCCCACGCAAGAGTGCTCAACTGCTACAAGAGCAGGAGCGAAATACTCAATCTGC